ACCCCCGACTACAGGTACCCCTTCCCCGGACTACAGGCACCCCCCCGGACTACTGGCACCCCCCCCCGGACTACAGGTACCCACCCCGGACTACAGGTACCCCCAGAACTATTGAGGAACACAGAGTAAGAATCCCCAGGTTTGAGGACTCAGGCTCAGGGGATTGAGCACGGGACCTGGGGAAGCCTCCTGGGGGTTGTTTTGGGGCCGATTGGGAAATGTTTCGGGCCTCTTGGGGGCCTTTGGGGGCCTTTCGGGAGCTTCTGCATGTTGGGGCCTGTTGGGGTCTTGAGTACCTCGTAAGGAGAACGGCTGGCATTGTCGGTTCGGGCTCCCCTTGTTGGGTCTCTTGGGGCGGTCTTGGGGCCCTCTTGGGCCAGCTTGGGCGTTTCTTGGGCCGTCTTGGCACCCTCTTGGGCCGTTTTGGGGTCGTATTGGGAGCCTCTGGAGCCGTCTTGACGCGGTTTCGGGGGCCTCTGGGACCGTCGGCAACGTCGTGAAGGCCAAAATGTCGCGTAGGGTGAAAACGCACGGCTTCTCGTATAAATTTGACGATTTGGATTTCGCGGGTCTCTCTTCGGAGGTGTTTGGATACCCATTGGGGCGTTTTGGAGGCGTCTTGCGAGCACGACATGCGTTGGGAATGGCGCCCCCCCCTCCCCCCCCCCTCTCTTGTCCTTAATGGCGTGGCCCCCCCCCCGCCCCCAAGCACCAAATGCGTCGGGAATGGCGCCCCCCCCCGCCCCCCTTCCCCTTAATGGCGTGGCCCCCCCGCCCCCGAGCATTAAATGCGTTGGGAATGGCGCGCCCCCGCCCTCCTTGCAGAGTGAAGCTTGAGCGAGCTCGAGTCCACGCACTCAGAAACTCACGCGCGGGATCGGCGGATTTACCAATCAATGACTCCGACGGGGGAGAGTGGACCTACACAGCGATTCCAGCGACCGTCGCCTTGACGGCGATGCCGATGATGGAGAGAGGTATCGTGCAAAGTGTGCAGCAGTGCGATACTCGTGATACGGCGGCCGATGGATGAACCGACGGTTGTGTTGATCGTAAGTTATACCAGCCATGGTGGGTAGTCAGTCATTCAAGCACGACTCACAGCGACACGTACCGTGCAGGGTCCACAAGGCAGCATTGTCTGAGCCTGGCCCACGGGGGACCGGCGGTTGAGGCGCGCGGGCCCGCGCGGGCACATGCCAGTTGTTGTTCGGCACGGACGTTTTGTTGGGGGAGATGTTCGGCTCCATCCTGGAACCCCCAGCATTGTCACAGGCAGCGTAGTTCCCTTTTCGGAACTCAGTGTCTGGAGTTGGTTCAGACACCATGTGATGTCACTCGACATACTCATATTTGCTTCTGTGTGGATCCGCTAACAAGCCAAAGAGGTTGCCCGCTGCGCGGCTACTGCTAGTGCAGCGGCACTCTATAATACACTGTAGTTTGACGCGGCCCGTCGTTCGGCTCCTCCGCTCCTGACTTCCAGACGAGAGGTCGAATGCGAGTATGCGAGCGACGCTCCCGCGTCCGCGGCCGCTTGGCGCAAGTGGCCAGCCTCTTCGTAGATGGCATGCCCGCCTTGCTCTCGAGGAAGTATCTGCGCGTGATGAACGCAAACTGCAACTCGATTACGCTACCTCACGCCCACGGTATGGATATGTCATGTACTAGTATGACACGCATACCGCGTAGCATATGGTTCGGTTTACCATAGCACTTTGCCTTGGAGAGCCCCCGGGGGGTATGTCGGGCCGCCCAGCCCAAAGAACCCGTTGGAGAGAGGGCTGGTGCACGCAAAGGAACGTGTCCAAAGGGGCGGGGGGTCGAGCACTTGGCGAAACTCGGGGAAACAGCGCTTCGCATTCTGCCGCGCCTCAGCGTGCCAGGGGGCACGGCGACGGACAGCCGCACATGAGAATTGCAATGTGTTTTGGGATGCTGTGCTCGTGTGGCCCATGCGCGCCCCCGTCGTATGTTTTTGGGCATTAGCTTCTTTCCTGCTCCACTCGTTACAGCTGACGTATTTGCCTGTCGTGTCTCTCGGATGCGGCTCTCTGCGTTTCGGTTCGCCTACACTTTCCATCAGATCTCGTCACTTCAAGGTGGCGTTGGCCACGTCTCGCAGTTTGCATGGATACGTCCGGAAACTACATCCATCACAGTATCGGTTTCGTTGCGTTCTCGGAGTGTTTGGTGACAGCCTGAGTCCTTGGGGCGTCCTGCCGTTACGGGCCGAGCACCGCAGCTGACCGAACGCGCATCGCCCGACCCATTCGATAGTTACGCAATTTGATTTTTCTTGCGTATGTTTGGGACGATAAATGTCATTCATGTTCCGTTGATTTCGCCTCTTATATTTTGTTTTCCCCTCTACCCCGCACTGCAGGCTTTCCCCGCCAACTGATATCTGCGTTGCGGAAGTCGACCCCTCCTGAGCGAGCCGTCCATCTTTTTCGCTATCATTTTATTATGTGGGATTTCCACTCCGTTACACATGATGTTCCCCGATGCTGTTTCCCCCCCCCTCCGGCAGGTCGAGGAGTACGAGATCAACGTGGACAGCCCCGCGCAGCAGCGACCAGCTTAATCAGTGTGATCGCATTTGCATTGGATAGCCGATCGCACGATGAAGCGTTCCGATGGTGCACGCTCTTGCTCTGTCAGCTCGGGTGGGGGGCCAGGCTCACCCTTGTAGGAAGGGGGAGGTAGAGCCAGGTTGGGAGGTCTTGGATGGTCTTGGGGTAGTGTGGAGCCGATCGGGAGCAGGTATCGCGTTCGGGGGTTCACTTACTGATGGTCATACGTGATATACAAATATCAACATAGACTGCGCACTCGTATAAAGGTGAGCGTCGAGGACCCGAGGCTATAATATGCTCTGATGCCTCGCCCCCCCTAAGACAGCAACACGGTCCTGGCGCCATGCACGAGGTGGAGAGGGTGGGTAAGGCTACATTCGACGGGGAGTTGGGCGGGAGAGGTTGGGTGATGCGGGCAGGCGGAACACTCTAAGAAGCGAGTTGATGCTTGCTCTGTGCGCTGGCGTACCCCGCAGCAGCTTGATAAGCCACTCTGCCGCCAAAATTCGCTCTTGGGAGTCTCCATCGATGCGCACAAATTGGCATGCAGGTGCCACTGTGTTGCTCTTCCCGTTGTCACCCTGTCACCGATGCTCCAGCCTCCGGCGGACATTTGACAAAGCATGTCTTTCTGAACCATCCGCCTTTGGACCCAGCAGCATCCGCATGAATGGAGCGTGGTGGAATTTGCCAGTGGGGATGGCAAGCTGATTCTGGAACTCAGGTGGGCCTCCCAGTGCCAGTCTGGAGTTCTGGAGCTCGTCGGAAGTATTATTCTGCTGAAGCGTCTCCAGCTTCTGCTGATACAGCGACTTGTCGGCATTTGTGGAATAACCGTTGCCGCAATACCTTTGCTCAAGTTCTTGAGGGTATGCAGGCCCTGCTCGAACGCCTCGCCCACGACCTCAGAAGTGCTGTCACTACTGCCATCATAGTGCGTGGGAGTTCGACCCCGTGCCCAGATTTTGTGTGCTCTCCCGCGCTCCATTGCCCTGCCTTGGAGTGCCACTGTCCCAGCGGCGAGGGCCAGATCACGCCGATCTCGCCCGCGGGGTGGTCGACGGAACTCCTGGTCGTGCTGGTGCTGTTAGCCTTCTCCTACGGTGTCCTCGCTGGCGGGCTCTATTTCAACCAGGCACCGACCTCGGCCACCAAGGTGCCTGTGCTGCGAGGTAAGTCGAGCCCGTCCGCTCTGGAGGAACCCATCACCACCGTCGACCTTGCGTCGGCAGCGGCCGCCCAGGCTCGTAGCTTCCGCCGCTGAGAGTCATCATGCCGATTCCTCTCCCTGGTCAGTTCCACCTCGTCCGCTACAACATCGTGGTCCTGCCATCGACCATGAAAGATTGACTTTGCTGCCTGGCTACATATTGACGCCAGATGGCGACGACTACCCCGAGAGCGGCGTCGCAGGCGGATACCTCCGCTCAGTGCACCCCCTCGAAGGCCAAGGCGAAGGACTTCCTGGAGTTCCCACGAACCACCTCTTCGGCAGCTCCCTCGCGCGGCAGATGCATGGGCAGCTCTTCGGACGGGAGTCGCACAGGGGCTGGCCCCCCCCCCCGTCACACCCTTCAACCTGGAGCTCAGCGCGACCAACGTCCTGGGCGCGGCGGCAGGGGGCTTGGCCTTGCCCGACCCGCTGGCGCCAGCTCCCCCCCCCCGCTCGTGCCGCCAGTCGGCGGCGGCCTTGGCGCGCTAGCCGCCGCGCTCGGGGGCGGAGCTCCTGCGCCCGCGGCGGCCGCGGCTGCCCCCGCAGGCGCCGGCGGGGCCCTCGCCCCTCCCGCGTCGGCGGCGGCGGTCGGCGACCCCCGCGCGATGGCCCTCGTCCTGGACGGGCGGGGCCTGCGCGACTTGAGTGTCGGCGACGCGCTCAAGCTCCAGACCGAGACGGGCCGCGCTGACTGGCCCGTGAAGGGACCCTGGACCTTGCTCTGGGCGCTCGGTTTCATGCAGCGAATGGCTGGCGGCTCAATGGCCTGGCACACCCGTTCAATGGCGATGATGCAGCTCGGCGAGCACGGCGAGAATGTCAAGCTCCACGAGGCGATGTGCCACGTGATCGAGACCGCGATGTGCCGCGACCAGATAGTGATCTGCGAGCTCGCCTCTTTCGAGCACCTGGCTCGCCAGCTCCAGCTGGTCGAGGAGCGGGTCTTCGAGGAGCGCGCGCGGGAGATGCAGCCAGCGCCAAAGGCGAAGGCGCAGGCGAAGGAGGCCAACCCGACCGACTTCGCCTCGAAGATCGGGCTTTTCTTCGGCACGGGCGAGACATAGGGCAACGCGTGCATCAGTCCTGCCCTGATAGACCGGATCGCGGACCATATGAAGAACGAGGCAGCATTGGCGAAGGAACGACGCAAGGCTCGCGAGGAGCGAGGCTTGCGGGCGCCGCGACGCACCCCGAGGACGCTGGCCAGGATGGGCCTCCCGAGCTCGCCACTCCTGCTCGAGAACCTGGTCAACTACGCTCAGAGCTCCCCAGGGCCCCGCCTGGTCTGAAGTCGCCCAGACGCGGCGACCATCGCAAGCGCGACGTTTTTCCCCTGCCCCTTCTTACCGTGGATGGGCGACGCCACCAGCCCGTTGGACGCGCTGCTCGCCTGCGCGCCGCCCAGGGCGCGGGCTGGAGGGAGTGGTGCAACGAAGTAATGGCCGCCCTCAACTGGCCCCACTGCGGCAAGGACGAGCTGCGCGAGCCCAGGGACAGCGCGCACACGCCCGCGGCGCAAGCAGCTCTGCGGAGCACCTTGCGGACCAGCACCGCGAGTTTGAGCTGCCCGCCGCCAACTCGGAGAGGGGCAGCGCCTGCGAAGCATCCCACGCAGAGATGCTCGCTCAGGCACCTGGCTACGCTGGCGACAGCGGTCGGGCGCGCCCCTACAGCGAGCCGCTTGCGGCCTGGCCCGAGTCGACGAAGGCAGTCTCCACCGCCGACGTCGTCGCCGAGGCTGACTCCGCCGCGCTGCAGGGCTGGGGGCAGAGTATGCTGAATCCCGAGTCGGTCGCGGCGGAGCTTCGCGAGTCTCCGGGGGCGTCACGCCCCTATGCGGATCCTGAGCTTCGTCATCGCCCGAAGTCGTGCGCCCAGTTCTTGAAACAGCCGGAGGCCCGCGACGCGATGTCGCGGCAGGCCGCCAGCCCTCTGGCCTCTTTTACAACCTCTTTGTTCTTTGTGGAGAAGTCCAACCACATGCTGAGGTTTGCATTCGACACTCGGATGGCCAACTGCAGTTTCGCAGCGCCGCCAGCCGCAAGGCATCCCACGCCCGGCGCGCGGGCCAGCGTCGACTGCGACGACAGTATTGTGTTCGCCCAGGGCGACATCCAGTGCGCTTTCTATCACTTACGTTTGCCTGCAGGGAAGGAGTCGCTGTTCTCGCTGCCCGCGATCTCCAATATATCCATCGGTCTCAAATCCATCAACGGTGCCCCCACTGGTATCAACGACTTCGCCCAGCCCTTGGTCACGGTGGCCCCCATGGGATGGAGCTGGGGCCTTCACTTTTGTCAGAGTGCCTCTACTAGAGCTCTCTCCGACGTCGGATTCCAGGATGGCGAGATGATCCTGGGCGGTGGCAGCACGCGTCTTTTGGTCTCCCCGACAGACGCTTTGTGCGCGGGATATGCCGATGATTTCTGCGTTGTGTCTAAGAGCCCAGAGATAGCCGCGCCCCGTGCCCTTGCCGTCGCCGATTTTCTCGCTGCTCGCGGTCTGCCCGTCCTGGACTTCTCGTCTGCCGCCAGCGATGGGGGTCTTCGCGGGCTTGCACGTCGACGGGCTGTCTGGGGTTATTCGTGTGCGTCCTGATCGGCTCGCCCGCGCCCGCCGAGCTGTTCGCGGGCTTCTTCGACGTGGGCGGGCCTCTTCGGGGGCCCTCAGCGCGCTGGTCGGGCATTGTACGTGGGTGGTGATCATGAGACGTGACGTCTTGGCCATATTTAATGCCGTCTCTCGGTTCACTGGCGTCGTGGGGCATCATCCTGGGCCTCTCCGGGAGTCAGTAGTCAGGGAGCTGAGGGCCGCGGTGGCCCTGATCCCGCTGTGGAGTGCTCCTACCAGGCCTCGGTGGGACCCGCGGGCCTATGCTTCGAGCGGGCGCTTCGCCCTTCGGGCAGGGGGCGCGCATCAAGGGCGTCTCCCCTGAGCTAGCTTCGGCGGTCGGCCGAGTCGCTGGGAAGTGGAGGTTCCGCCAGGAGTCCAGCGCGTTCGCCGGGTAACATGCCTTCGACGCTGCGGGCCCCCATCACGACGCCGTTGATACTCGTCATCGCGCCGCGCCATCGCTGTCTACGTCATCGTCGTCAGCGGGCTGCCCTGGCTTCCTGGAGGCCCCTAAGTCTGTCTACGGGTTCGAGGGCTGGAGGGCCATTCACTCGAGTCGGCGCGCCCGCGCTGGGTGTGATATATTACAGTAAGAGGCCGAGGCCCTGGGGTTCAGCGTCCGCCACGCGCCCCGGGCCCCGGGAGTTCATCGCCATCGCGTCGTCTGCGTCGTTGACAACTTGGCTCTAGCTCTCTCCGTCGGGAAGGGGCGTCCTGGCAGCCCGCGCCTCGCGCGCGCCTTGAGGCGCGTCGCGGGCGCGGCTCTGGCATGCGGTTTTCGCGCGCTGGTGCGCCGGGTGCCCGCTGAGAGGAACGTCTCCGACAGGCCGTCGAGTGAGGGTTTCTTCGTCGGCCCGAGCTTCGAGGACTTCTCCTCGGGCCTGGTCGCGCGTCGGCCTCGGCCCCCCAAGCGAGGCGGCCCGGGCGGCGAGGGGGCGGGCGGCCCACCCTGGGCCCGCCAGCCTCCTGCGAGGAAGCCTGTCGGTGTTGGGGGTCCGCGGTCTCAGCCACGACGGGCAGGAGCTGCCGCGCCCGCGCCCAGAAGTTGCCGAGCTGGAACCCGTGGGCCGCGAGGGTCTTCGGGGGCAATGCCGAGCAGGACGTCGTCCTGGCGCTGTTCTTCGCCCATCTCTTCCTCGACGGCTACGCCAGCGCGACGGGCCGCATGGCGACGGCCGCGCTCAGACGCTGGCTGGGGGCAGGCCGCGGCCCGGGGCCTTTCGGGCCCCCCGGCCCAGGGCGCATCGCGGAGGCCAGCCTGTGGAGCTTCTCCCCCGACCAAGTGCGCCAGGCCTTCGAGAGCTCTCTGGTCCCGCTCCAGCTCGACGGGGAGCGGGCCTCGCTGCGCCACGGGGGAGCGCCCAACGACCTCCTCTCGGGTCGCCGGACGCGGAAGGAGGGGAAAGACCGAGGCCGATGAGGGGCGGAGCAATCGTTGCACATATACGCCAAGCGCGCTCGGATGCAGTAACGGCTGGGCCTCTCCGCGGCCACGCCGACTCCACCATGGGCGGCGCCCGCGCTGACCGACCAGTGGTCCTTGGCGCGAGGCGTCTGTGCAGACGGGCGCGACAGCGCGCCGCCGTCGCGCCGTGCCATGCCATTTTGTGCACTTGTACGCCGAGTTGTGTTCGGCGAGCTTGCGAATCTCGCGGGCACGGAACTGTGGCCATCAACCCTGCTCGGCACCGTCATGGCGATGCTGGTGATCCTCTGGTATTGAAGACTCTGATAGGACGGGTCCGCTCTTCGGCGGCCCTCGGGCCGCGGGCCCCCCCTCCGTCTGCAACCTGGAGGGCAGGGGCCGCTCGAGCGCGCCACCTCGATCCACTGCTGGAGGGGGCGACGGGCGCGGAAGCCGACAGACGGGCCCTCCGCGTTCCGAGCGCCTTCGCCGCTGCCGCCATTTGGCTCATCTCGGAGTGCATTTTCCGCGGGGTGCCGATTATTTGCGTGCACCCTGAGACCGGCCTGATTTGGAAACATCCCCTCTGGCCCCCTCCCCTCGCCGCCCCCCCCCCCCCCCCTCCTGCCCCTCGGCTCCTGCGCGTTTTCTGGCCGAGTCAGGCAGGGGGTCTTCATGGTAGGTTGGGGCGTCACCGACCTCGACCTCCTCGCGCGCCGTGGCCACTGCTCCACGGCGTCGCCATTTGGGGGGCATCGGTCGTCCAGCGCTGGACGCCGTGGCCCGAGCGTCTGCGAACGGGCTCCCCTTTGAAGTGGCCAGCGCTGGCACGGACATGATAGTGGCCGCCGCTAGTCAGCTGCCCGGCGCCGCCAGATATATAGGACAGTTTTTGATCAATGAGTTTTTTTCGGCCGTGGCCGCGCGCGAGGACTTGCGCGCGGCACCGAGTCTGTGCTTCGCCAGCGGTCGTCTCGAGCTCGTGGCCGCCCTGCGACGTTTGCACAAAAAGGAAGAAGATGGCCACGATCCATCCACGCACAGCGACTTGTCGGCATTTGTGGAATAATCGTGGCCGCGATCCCTTTTGCTCAAGTTCTTCCCAAAGCCTCCCGCCCAACTTGAGCGCAACCAGTAACCTTTTTTACCGAGTCTGTGCTTCGCCAGCGGTCGTCTCGAGCTCGTAGCCGCCCTTCGCCGTTTGCATGAAAAGGAAGAAGATGGCCCCGATCCATCCACATGTATGTCTTACTGAGACGTTGTTGGCTGCTCGTCGGAAGGTCGGCCCCGCTCTGCCTGCAGTTGCTGTTGCGCGACGGTCTTGCCAAGCCAAGATGGAGCATCTTCTCAGCCGTCACCGCGATGTCGTGAGGCATGCTGTTTCTTCCAGGGCGTCCGCCCCCATGACCTCCCAGATGCCGAGACAAAGCGCAGACGGGGTGAAAGCCGCTTGTGGAAGCCAGGTTGACATTCTCGAATCGACCCACTCAACGAGTCTCGGGATATGCCTTTTCATCTTCGGGACCTCGCCGCGCGGTGGCGGCATGCGGAAGAAGGATGGAGTGAAGTTGCCGGGCGAGGATAGAGCTCCTACTATGCACATGCCTGCCCCATGCATGTATAGATGCACGCGTGCATGAATCTATACATATATATACATATATATATATATATACGCCGCAAAGCCACATTATTCAACTCCTCTCCGGCTTGTATCCGGTCAAGTCGCATATGTTTTGACGCGCCTCGCCGCGAAGAGCTATCGTGCCTCTGCTACACGACGAAGGCCGAAGCACAAAACTAAATGCTGCGAATCGGGGTGCTCACCCCAGGGCGCGACGCGTCGGGGTCCAAGCCTTGAAACAGCATTGAACCAGAGTGGTTGTTGGGGGCGGCGGAGGGGAGGGGAGGGGACGGCAGGCAAAGGAAGGGTCGGGAGAGAGAGAGAGGGAGAGGGAGGGGTACGCTTGCGCGCCTGTTAGGCAAGAGCTGGTTGTACTCTCAGTCAGCGCGCGCTCGAAATCGGCCCCAGGCTTTCCAGGCATGGTCCGAGAGGCGGAGCAGGAGGAGCAGGAGGAGGAGGAATGGAATGAGGAACCAGGATGGAGGATTAGGAGGAGGACGACGGAACACGGAGGAGGGAGCAGAACGAGGAGGTGGAGGAAGTCCACCCCATCTATCACGCCTCGTCTGGCCCTGGCCTTCGGCTCGCCCTGCCTCTGCAAGGCCGAGGTGGCCTGCCAGGCGCTGCTGCCACATGGCGTCGGGCGCTGCGCTGCCGAGGCATGCCCTCGCTGGCCGCCGCCACGGCCGGAGTGCCACGGGCGCTCGAGGGGTCTGAGGACCGGGCGACCTGCTGGCGCCAGGCCAGAGCGGCGTGACGGGGTATCGGCCAGCGTTGCCGGGCGGAGGCGGCGGCGGATGTGGCGGCGCGCCGCGCCGTGCTGTCTGCGGGCCTGCGCGGCGCCACCAAGGGCGGAGCTCACCTGTCTGGCCTGTTCCCCCTCGTGCCTCCCTCCCACGTTCCCCTCTTGTCCTCCCCCCATCCCTTCCTCGCCTCACCTTGCCCGTTCTCCTCCGCCTCCCTCCCGCTGCTTCTCCTCATCCTCGCGCTCTCGTGTTCGCCGCCTGGTGTCGTGCGGCTTGGCTCGATGCCGATCCCGGGTGGGGATGCCTCGGGGGCACGACGGCAGGAAGAGAGAGAGAGAGAGCGGCAGGACCAGATGAGGCCGAGGGCGGAGCGAACCTCCTCGCTCCAGATCGTGACGCCCAATCCTCATGTCTTCCACAGCCTCATCTTCCGCCCCATACAGCCGCCTGCAGCACGCGTTCGACATGGTAAAGGGACGCAACAGAATTGGCACGAGAAGCGCACCGGGCAGGGTGTTCAGATACGACATCTTTGGGTGGACAAGGGCAACGTTAGGAAAGGATAAGTAGGGCTGGGCCATCATCATCATCATCATCATCATCATCATCATCATCAGCAGCAGCAGCAGCATCATCATCATCAGCAGCAGTATCATCAGCAGCATCATCATCATCATCAGCAGCAGCAGCATCACCATCAGCATGTTGTCATCATCATAATCATCAGCAGCGGCATCATCATCAGCATCAGCAGCATCATCATACTCCCCTTTCTCTATCTCTTGCTCGTTGTTGCTGCCGTTGTCCCCACTCGCCCATCATTCCTCGTCCTGCTGCTCCATATGTTCATCCTCGCTTCGCCTCTTAATCCGCGCATTCCGCCAGGAGTATGGAATTGGGGAGGACCGGCTGGGCTGGGGCGGCGCCGCGTGGGGCCGACGCAAGCGCGGACCCCGAGCCATTACCCATCTCTCGTTGAAAGTACGTCTTTGAAGGCCATAGGGCTGTTGCCGCCGACCCTGAAGGCGGGACCTGCCCCTGGACACCAGTGGGCGCCCCCCCCAAAACCCGCCTGGACCTCCCCCCGGGACTCTCCTTCGGACCCCCCTCCCGCAGGGGACACCCCTCCCTCGTCCTCACTGTCCACACGGGGGACCGGGGAGGGGAGAGGGGGGCCGCTGGGAATTCGGGGGTTGTGGTACTTAATTCATCTGACCCAGGACCCCCCCCGCACCCCCCCCCTACCCCCCTCGTACCCACCCCCGGCCCTCCTCGTAGCTTCCCCAGTCCGGGAGGGGAAAATGGAAAGGAAATTTGCTTGACTACGACGTTTCTTTTCTCTGTTCGTTCCTACATGTCATTGGCTAGCGACGACCACAATGACAGCGCCTCATATACGCCGAAGCGTCGGCGCATTTTGGTTCTAACCCGAGGCACCTGCCCATTTCCACGATCGAAAGGATTTCCCCTCGATGTTCAAGAGGCGGGCGGAAATCCAACACACTTTCAACGCATCCCACCTCCTGTTTGCACCTACCCCGAACGAGGGGTGCCTGTCTCTTGGGAGGCGGTTGGGGGGCTTGAACTGGTGCAGGCCCAAGAACATCGGCCAGGAGGGCGGACGAGACCACATCCGCTCAAAATCAGTCCCCGGACCCATTGCGCTGTCGGCCGTGACCTCGACCGAGGCGTCGGGCAGGACGTCGAGCGATGCGTCGGCACGGGCGCTGCGGGCGGGCCCGGGCTCCCGCGCCCTGCTCCCCCGCGGCATCGTCGGTGTCGTGGTCGCCCTCGTCACTCAAGCGGGGCGGGGGTCTGGTCTTCGGCCGCCACTGGGGGGCCCAGGGTTGCTGGGACCGGCGAGCTCGCCGCCAGGGCGGGCGGCGCACCCGGGGGAGCGGGCGGGGCTGGGGCCAGGGGAGCCGTGCGCAGTGGTTCCCCCTCCCTGGCCGGGCCCCCCGCTGCGGGAGCGTCGTCTTCGCCTTGCACGGGCGTGCACCGACCTCCAGCCACAAGGCGGCAGATAATCAACCCTGTGCCCCCGATGATCACAGGGCGGGGATAAGAAAGTCCGAGATTCTGGCGGGATAGTAAACCTTTTCCGGCAGGTCGCAACATAAAGGAGGAGAAGGAGCAGGAGGAGGAGGAGGAGCGAACGAATCTTTCGGAGTGTACGGATGCACAGAGTGTCTCATGGTATAACGATACCGTGCTCGTTCGAGTAGGAATCCTGAGAAATGCTATGATATAGCGATAACGTGCTCGCTCAGGCAGGGCCTCCCTGGAGGAGTGGGATGAGCAGGAATCCTAAGAAATAGTATGATATAGCGATACCCTGTTCGCTCAGGCCGGGCCTCCCTGCTCACTAAGAGGTAAGATTCGATCTACGATGCAGACTTCACCCAGCGACAATGAACTTCGGCCCCGCCGCTCCCCACCGCTGACCAAAACTGTCTTGACAAGGGATAATCATGAGGATCGTGGGAAGGGGGGGGATGCTTTATTATCCAGGCCACGCAGTTAGCGGCGGCGTTTGCTTGTTCGGATGCGACAGCGGTCGCAGCTTCTGCCCGCGCGCTGTCGTCGTCGTCGCTGACCCATGCCGCCTGAAGGAAGCAACCGTAGTGCAGGGGCCTATATGGCCCCTCGCACGTCACCCCCCGTATGGACTCGAGACAGGCAGCGCATTGAGGGGCTTCCGTGTTGCCGCTCAGGCGATCACGTTGCTGCACGAAAGGTTGGGGGCGACTGGCGTGATAGAAGCGGGCCGCCTCGCACAACGTGGAGTATGTCCAGCTCGTGTTTTCGTGAAGGTCAAGGCCAGAAGGCAGCACCCCAAGTCCTGCAAGGGGATCGGGGTCCTGGATTGAGACCTGGCGACGCGAGACGGAGAGCGGAGACGCAACAGTGGGGTGAGCACCAGGAGTGAGGAGGAGAATCAGGGACAGGCTTGTGAGCATTCGGGGAGCGCGTGTCCATAGGTGTCAGACTTTAACGGCCTGCTGCGCTCGTCCTGTTTCCCTGAGGGGCCCCGCCCGTGCGCCACTTGCACTGGGCGGCGCTTAACTCTTTGCCGTGATGCTGTGCACCGGCTACGGAGTGGCACTCCTACTTCTCCGCCGCCTTTGCCTTCTTCCCGTGCCATGCGACGGGTCGCCCAGTCGGACCACTCCTGCACCAGGGCCGCTCCGCCATCCGTCACCTTGGGCTCCTCGCAGCTGCTGCTGCGCTGGCGCACCTCCCCTTGCCGCCGCCGGCCCCTGCACCGCTGCCTCCCCCCTGCGGGCGCCTGGTCCTCCAGCCGCCAGCTTCTCCCGCTCTTCGACTTACCGGGCCTTGCCCGCTCTGTGGCTGCTGGCCCCACCCCCTTGGCGCAATGCGACGCCGACCCGCAGGCGCTGCCAGGGATGTCCCCTCGGCCAGGCCACGCCCACGCACCTGCTAACGCCTCGCTGCGTGAGTGCGCCACCGCGCCGTGCCCCCCCGCCCCCCCCCACTTTGCGGCCGCCTCCTCGTTTCCCCCAACCTTCTTGCATGCGGGCAAATTCGCGACACCGCGCCAAGGTCTCGCACAGACGCGCGTGCGGATTGCCTTTGCCGCGCTGCGACGTGAAACACCAATATAGCTATCCTTTGTTGACGTTCAGGGAGCTCGCCAACATGACAGTTGATCGTGATGCTGGCGCACGTTTTTGCACAGCTCTTCGCTTTCGCGCGCTTTCCGCTCATGCCAAGAAAGGTTCACCGTGGAGAGCTGGAGGAGCTAATGCCCAGCTTTGTCCATTGAACATGAAACCCTCGCTCGAGACACCGTCACAAACCAGGGGTGTTGAAATCGCTCGCGAAATCTTCATATACTCAGAGACGGGGCTCTCACTGGAGACATCCTCAACAACAAGTTACTACATGTTTGGGGTGCTCTCTTGGAATATCCCAAGATGGCCCGAGCAACTGAATCATTGAAACGCAATGTTTCAGTTCGTATGTTCAAACACAAGCGGCTCGCTTGAGACATCCGCACACACTCACTAGAAGGTTTTCTGGCAGGGCAAGTGATGAACGTACCATTTGTGTGTACACCAGTGCATCCATACGTAAATGGTTTGTTCGAGGCATCCTCACAATGATGAAGTTCCGAAGGTGTTCGACAACATCAGGTTGCGATGCAGATTTTGATTATGATGGTGATGCTGTGGTTGATGATGGCAGGTTGAGGAAGATGACGGTGATGATGCGGATAATGACGGCGGCGTTGAAGAATATGGGGGTGACCGCGGTGATGTTGATGACGACGATGACGGGGAGGACGAGCACTAGCAGGGCTTCTGTAGTGTGGCATCGTCCGCTGCACTTGAGTGCTTTTAAGTGCAGCGGACGTTTGTGGTTCTTCTCGCGGGTTCCGCGTGGTTCCTGAATTTGCGCGGGTGCATAGTGTCATGTCGCCAATATCGCAGAGCGGATTTCGTTCGGAAAACGATAGGATGGGCCCGGAGTGTCCTGGAGACGTTCGTTCTGGATTTCGATGTGAATTTCGCGCGGATTTGTTGGTTTGCCAGGAATCCAGACATGAAAGAATCCACGCGGAATTCACTTCGTTGTTCGCTCGCCGCTTCGGGCAAGAGTCCACGCAGAAATCCGCTGCAGCACGTCTGCAAGGCAGGTGCAGATTGTGCCTGTTGTCGGCGGAGGGGGCAGGCGACGAGGGCGAGGAGGCGAAGCCACGGGCGAGGAGGCGGAGGAGGACGGGTGGCAGCAGGAGGATCCATGACCAATGTCAGGGTCAGTTCACTACCCACAGCAGTTCCGCGCACCGTCTGAATTGTCGCGAGTCGCGAGTTCTACTTCTTACAGTTGTGGAGTTTCAGGGGCGTGCCCACGACACGGCTGATCTTCATGGTGTTGTTGGAGGTTTTTGCGCTCCTCGATTCTGCGCATTCCCCGTTCAACATGAAAATGACAAAATCGTTGTTTCAGGGGGTGGCAACCCAGACCAGGAACAGTTCATTACTTGCGTCAGTTTAGCGCCGCGTCCGATTCGCGCGGGTAGTGGATTGCACTTGATACATGTTGTGAGCGTTTGGGGGGAGCGCCTATGCTACAGTTGATACAAGTGTGGGTGCACGTGTCTCAAACTCTTCGCTTTCACGCGCTTCCCGTTCATGTCAGGAACGGTTTCGATCAATGGCATTCTCGGCCGAGACATCCTCTCGAACATTCCGCTCTAGGGGGCTCCGAAGTATCTAGCATCACATTGGGATCGTTGCTGGAGGGCTTCACTACGATTCAAAAGAGCCCTAACAAGCCACCCAGAAGACAAAGAGGGTCCCAAGAGGTTCCCAAGAGCGCCCCAGGAGGCCCCCACACGGCCCAAGACAGCCTCAGATGGTGCCAAGACGGTTTGAGAGAGCCTCCACAGAATCTTAAGACACGCCCAGACAACCCAAAAAAACACAGTAGCCCCCAAAAGGACCCAAAGAGGCCCCCAAGAGGCCCCCAGGAGGCCCCAAGATAGCAGATAGCCCCAGAGGGCCCCAACAGCCCCGAGAGCAGCCTCAAACGATCACGAGGACCCCCCCTCCTTCTTCGACGTCCTCTTCCTCGGGCTTCTAATCGTGCTTCGTCGTCGTCGTTCTCATCCTCCTCCTCCTCCGGTTCGTTCCTCCTCGTGTTCGTTCTCCTCCATCTCTTCATCCTCGTCCTTGTAGGGAGGGGGTTCGGCAAACTTAGCTGCAGTCTTCCGCTTTTCGCCAAACTATTGAAGCCCAGCGCAGGAAGGTAAGGAGGGATAATAGCCCGAAGGGAAGAATCAGCTGGAAGGCAGCAGAAGAGGATGACGAGGAGGTGGAGGTGAAGGGAGAAGCAAGGGGAAGTAGCAGCAGTAGGACCAGGAGGATAATGACGCGAGAGGGAAAGGGGAGAGGAGGCACCAACAGGTGCGCGAGTAAAGGAGGAGGAGAACGAGAAGGACGAGGTGAATGAGGAGGAGGAGGAGGAGGAGGACGGCGAGGACGAAAAGATCGCGATTGATTATTTACAAGAGAAGGGGATCGAGGACGAGGAGGAGAAGGAAAAAGGACGAAGCAGCGGTGGCAGTTGCAGAAGGAGGGAACTCAGTGGCGCCGGCACCCTCCGCGCCGGAGGACATACGCAGACCCATCGCGGTCGAGCTTTTTGAACGAGTACCCGCGCATGGTCATGGGCGTTTGGGTTCATTGTCTCTCTCCGCCATGACGCACGGGAGAAGATTGAGGGAGATCATGTTTGTATGGCGAGAGGTTTGGGTTGCGGGGTTCGGTCTGATTCTTCTTCTGGGGGAGGCTTTGCGGTCACAAGGTCCGCTATTCCTGTTGGTCTACGAGCGTCTCACCCAGAGACTTAACAAAGTATCGATATTGGTTCAAGTCTAGGACCCTGTCGGGCCGAGGGGGTCGTAGGCGTTAAGAAAACTAGAATTGCACCTTGGCTGAGAAATTGAGCAAGTATGTGCTCTGCAAGCTGATGGTGGAGCTCAGAGTGAAACACTGTGTTCCAATCGCCGTGGTCTTGAGATGATTCAATGTTGCGCGTTATGCCATTGCGCCGGCGAGAACTAATATGCTCAGCAGCTGAAGCCTGCCACTCGCAGCCTCATTGCCCCCACAAAAGGGGGCCTGCAGACTTGTTGGAAGCGGAAAAGGTTCTAATTGTAACAGCCTGATTGGTGTATCGCGTTTGTCTCCAATGGTTTGGGAGTGGGAGCCCTGGCCCACGGGCCACATTCAGATTGTGTTGCAGGTCTCCCCCAACGGTGCTTGCACTCGGGAATTCTCATACGGTTGCCAGGCAACGCGCCCCATGCAGGTTTGTGGCTCGAGGGCGCTCCACGGATGTCCCACTGTCGCTTCGTTGCTGCCCAGGGCGCCCCCTCCGGATTTTCGGCGTGTGGGCCCTTTGGGCGCCCCGTTGGATCTTGCATTGTTTGTGCTGTCTTGAGCTGCTGCGCACTGGAGTCGTCGGGGGGGCCGAGGTGGGCCAGCACTGGTTCTGGCCAGGGTTCGAGGTTCTGGGTGCGGGAGGTTGTTTTGCCTTTCTCGGCCTCCAGGGGCCGCCTTCGGGCCCCAGGACCGCGAACAACGGATCTGGCGGGAAAAATTGCAACAGATGGATCCCGGGGAGGGGCCCGGGAAGGGTCCGGGGACCGATTTTGAGCGGATTTGGCTTCATCCCCTCCTTCTGACCGATTTTCTGGGGTCCCGACGAGTTCAGACCCTCTGGCCGCCTCCAAGCTGCAAACTGGTTTGCAGTGCTCTGGTCTGCAGCACAATGCTTCGCTTGCGTTGCTGCGCAGCGCTTTGCTTTGCACTTTCTCGCTGTTTGCGTCCACGCAGCCTGTCTTTATAATACGCTCTGTATAGTGATTCCAACGCCCAGCGAGGGATGCCGGGCCTCCGAATTCGGTGGCCCGCGGTTGTCCCCCACGGCGGCCCCCCCCCAGAGGGATGCCGGGCCCCCGAAATCGGTGTCCCATCGTGGCCCTCCGTCGTGAGCTGTGTAGAGTTGTTCAGGGTCTTCTGCCGTGAGGGTGTCATCTATCTGTTTGCTCGAAGCCGTCACTTGGCGGCGAGCGAGGGGGGGAAACGAGAAGGAGAGCACCTTCTCGGAAGGCCGCGGGACTTCTCAGAAGCCCTCGCGCCTTCCGAGAGGTTGTTTGCGTCTTCGGGGAAGGCTTAGAAGCCTTCTCAGAAGGCTGGGAAACTGCCGAGCCATCTGAGAAGGCCCGCCTCTTCTCACTCCCCCCCTGGGCGTGCCGCCTATTAACGTTCTCTGATTAGAGTGAATTCGATTCGATTGGTTTCCCAATGGGTTCGGAGCTGCTGCCTGCGACCACTCCCCTCCATTCTTTCTCCTTTTCGTTCAACGGTCCAGGTAGAATCTCACCAGGCACTGCAAACGAGGCAAACAAAAGCCAGGCAGATGCGATCAAGTACGCAATGAGCTATTACTGCTGCTGCTGCTCGTGAAAACACACTTCCTGCTGCGACCTTTCATTTCGACTGTTATTTAATCGCTTCGCTCATTCCGCTGGCCCTCGAGCGCTATTTGGGGCCTCTTGGGGCCGTCTTGGGGGCTTCTTGGGGGCTTCTTGGGAGCGTCTTGGGGCTCCTTGGCGGCGTATTGGGCTCCCCTGGGGCCTCTTGTGGGGCTCTTGGGGGCCCCGTGGGGCGGGAGGGGGGGTAGTCGATTGCAGCCCCCCCCCTCGGAGGCCACGATCCTCGTGAGGGGTGGCGAAAAATAGCCTCCCCCCTGGGGATCGCCCGGGACCCGGCCAGGGATCAGCCAGCGTACTTTTCGTCCGGGGCCCCCCAGGGGCCGCCCCGCGCGCGCGAACTAGAAATACTGTTAAGTAGTTGCCGGAGATCTTAGCACGCCTCTGGCCCGATGGGCCAGCGAATTACCAACGCTACCGCTACTGCTACTATAGCTGCAACGACTCATACGAGTACGATCGCGCGACCCTTCCCACATCACTAGCACTGCTACGAACCACAATACTACTATTGGTCATAGTGTTACTTCTGCGGTTTCAGGGCTGACAGAGAACAAGTCAGAGAGGCAGAGGCAGAGAAATGGAGGGAGGGAGGGGGAGGGATAATAGAGAGAAAGAGAGAGCACACCATCTTGGGGGGCTAGCAAGGGCAGGAAAGTTGCAGCCAGGATGTGTTCAGTCGATAGGGACTTGGAGGTTCACCCAGTCGGACGCCGGTGACGCACTGCGCGCGGGAGTAACGCCCTGGATTCGGATGGAGGTTGGTGGTGGTGCGGAGGGGGAGAAGTGGAGGGGGAGGGGATGATCGGGCGGGGTTGGGACAGCGATTAATCGTTTCAGAGCGCTCCAGAACGCTCCGAGAAGGCTGCGGTGCCCGATACTCTCTGTAGAAACGCTGGCTCTCAGAGATCCCGATTTCCGCCCGTTCGATTTTGCTCCTGTGCTGAGCTCGTCTTAGGGGGGAGGAGGAGGGACACAGCCAAAAGGGTGGTTCCCATCTTGGAAGGCAAAGTCCATCTGCTTCTAGAAGACCAATTACCCCAGTGCGACCCTACCTAGAAGTTGGAGCCCCGAGGAAAGCAGCATTCGTTGCTATGCTATGCTATGCTATGCTATGATGCGCTATGCTATGATATGCTAAGCTATGATATGCGATGCTATGCTATGTTATGGCATGATGCGCTGTGCTATGCTATGCTATGCTATGCTATGCTAAGCGGCGCTATGCTATGATATGCCATGTTACGATTTGACATTATACGCTATGATGTGCTATGCTATGCTATGCTATTATATGATATGTTATGGTATGAGTGGCTATGATAGGCTATGCTATGCGATGCTATGCTGCGCTATGCTATGCTATGATTGCCTGTGCTATGCTATGCTATGCTATGCTATGCTGCGCTATGCTATGTTATGCTATGCTGGGCTATGCTATGGTATGCTGTGCTGCGCTATGCTATGCTGTGCTGTGCTCTGCTATGCTAAAGCTCAGCGAAGCTAAGATGAAGGTAAGCTAAGCTAAGATAAACCTGAACTAAGATGAAGCTAAGCTAAGCTAAGATGAAATAAGCTAAGCTAAGTTGAGATAAGCAACGCCAAACTAAGGGGACGTCACTGGGGGAACCGCGGGGCGGATGCCGGGGGAACCGCCCGGGGCGGTTTCCATTGCCCGGCCCTTTAAGCACACAGGGTAAGAACCCTTCTAGGCAGAGCCTAGGTAGGGAATATCTAGGGCATATGCTGAATACCGTTCTCACTTTCTAGCCACAAGCGTGTATAGACTCGTTGGGCGCCGTTACATGTATAGACACATTCGGGGCGGATACGTCTGTAGACAACGCAGCCGTTGCATTCGGCGCATTGCAAGTTCTGAGAAAGGGTAGATCCGTCTACGGCATGTTCCTGTTTGAGAGCAGCTCCCGTGTGGTACTCCAGCTGCCATCCACGCCGCTCCGCCCTGCCAGATTCTCATCCTCGGGGGCGTGCTGCGCGAAGTAGCGACGAAGCTGTACCGCGGGGACTCGGCAACCCACAGGGCGCGCCTCGCGCCCACTGGGGCTGCAGGTTGATCGAGACATGAGAGGGTATTTCTGGGCTGGAGCCGGCTGGGGGGGCTGAGGCGGCGGCCCAGAACTGTCCCAGACCTCCAACGTCTCGAGAAGCTGAAGACGGAGGCTTTTCGCAGCCTTCCGCTGTCAAAAAACGACTCAGGATCGAGAGCCGGCCCCAAAGAGAAGGTCCAGACCTCTGGGGACCCCCGCACTGAGAAACCCGCGACGTCGGATGTCCGAGGTGTTCGGCGTCGAGAGGCCGTTCTCAGGCCCCGGGGCCGCGGGGAATCTGTCCTGGACCTTGGGAGGGGTCCAGGGACCAATTCTGAGCGGATGTGTCCTCAGACCCCCTTTCTGGATATGCTTTATCGGGGCTCATCCAGAGCAGACCCCCGGCCGCCTCCAAGTTCCAGGGAGTCCGGGGTTGCGTACTGGGTGGGCGACACATAACGGGGTGAAGAAAGATGCACCCGTCGTGCACTTCAGGGGTCGTACAGGGCCCCCCCTGAGGCCAAAAGGGGCACGAGAGGTGCACGTCTCTCTCCCCCCGCCATTCATCGCCTTTCACTGAGAGACGCCCGAGGGGGGCTGAGTCGTCAGATGCAGGGCGACAAGAAGACGGATGCGAGGAGAAGGTTCGACGGCCAAGAAGCGTGTCTGCTTGCCCAGGCTGGACTGCCCTGGAATGCAAAGGGCGTCTTTCGTCGAGATTCGGGAACGGCAGAGAGGGGGGTAATGACTAGGGGGGGATACCGTGGCGGGGACCATGACATCTCACCAGATCGCATGGCCCCCTCTTTGTCTTTCAGTGCGTCTCCTGGACCCCGTTGGGCCGCGCACATGCTTCGGGCCATGATTTGCGCCCCCCTCTGGCACGCCCCCGAGGCATGAGATATTAGATGGAGGCCCTCTCAGACAAGTACGCTGCTGCGACAGTGGGGTGGCCAAGAGTACCAGGCGTCAGAGGAGGTAAAGGTACCCATACCGCTACCCTCGCCCCGTTCTCGTCTTGTTGGGCCTCCTTGGAAGCCTTCGTCGCCACCGTGGGATTCAGAACGCACCCCCTGAGAGAGGTCCGGGGAGTAGCGGTATCGGTACCTTTTGGTTTCCCCAGGGAGCGGTATGGGGTCGGAGGTCGGAGAGCGGGGGAAGGAAGGAAGGGGAAATGCCACGAGGGGCACCCCTTAACCCTGGCCCACACCCCTCATTCCGCTCCCCTCCCCCTCACAACTCCCCCCCTCCCCGTCACCACTACCTTTCTTCCCCTCCAATGTGCGCAGATGCTTTGCTCCGACTGCGCAAGACACGACGGGATCCTTTTTGGAATACCAGGTCCACTCGGAGGGAGGGAGACAGAGAGAATAGCAAAGGAAGAAAGAGAAAACTAGATAAACAAACAGAGAGAACGAAACGTAACAGCGCCATGGGAAGGGATGGACAGGAGGAGTAGAATGTCGCATCTGGCAGGATCGCCACTGGCTTGTCTCTCCCCCCCGCCATCCCCACGCCTCTCCCGCCATCCCCACGCCTCCCTTCGCCCTCTCCCTCCATCCGAGAGATCGCCTCCCTTCGCCTCCCTTCGCCTCCCTTCGCCCTCTCCCAGGCGTGGGGATGGCGGGAGAGGGTGGATCCCCCCATGGCGGGATCCACCCTCTCCCGCCGTCCCCACGTCTCCCTTCGCCTCTCTCCCCCCCCCGGCCTTCCCTCCCCGCCCTGGCCCGACCCCGCTGGCGCGCCAGAGCGCCCCGCCCTGCACCATTCACCAGACCTGCCCCTCCTCAAACCGATGGTGGCCTGCTCCCCCTGCTCCTCCTCGTCCTCCTGAATCCTCGTCGACATTCCAAAGGAGGAGGAGGAGGAAGAAGAAAGATGCCGCCTCCAGAGGTCCCCAGATGTCTCCAGAGGTCTGAGGACCTCCCCTTAGAGGCCCCCGCAGGCCCAAGAGAGGGAAAGAAGCGTCCTGGAACCTCCCTCGTCCTCGTACGTGCCCCTGCCCCTGTTCTCCGCCCCCGCAGGCCCAACAGAGGGAAAGGAGCGTCCTGGAACCTCCCTCGTCCGCTGTTCTCCACACCGCCGCACCTCCGCCGACAGGCGGTGGCCATCTCGGCCCGGCAGCCGCCGACACAGCGCAGCACGCTGCCCGTGGCGGCGTCCGCCGAGAGTGCGATCGCGGGTGCTGCGCCAGAAGCCAGGCGCCAGCCCACGCCCAGCCCGCGGAAGTTCCTCGCCATAGGGGAACCGGGTCCTGAGGGGAATGGGGTCCTGAGATGCTTCGCCGTTTTCGAGCTCTCAGGGCCCTCCGCGGGCCCCGGGACTGTCAGAAAGCGGACCCGTTTCCTGCAGAACCCGTTTCTTGCAGGGCTCGTTTCCTGCAGGACCCGTTTCCCCCATGCTATAAAGTTCCAGGGTCTGCCCAAGAGGGGACCGACATCGGAAGGGCGATTCGGGCAGGCGGGGGAGGAGCTGGTGGGAGCAGGATGGGAGGGGAGAGTGGGGAAGCGAAGAGGCGACCAGGATTCAGGCGATCGCAAACATGGATCAAGGGGGCGTGGATTAGCGACGAGTCCCGCTTCCATGGGAAACCACGGATCCCCGCCGCCGAGCGAGGCGGCACCAGCCGCATTTTGGCGAGGGCACCTCCCCCGATCCATGGATTTGGCGACCGCGCGCCAAATCCATGGATCGCTAATCTATGTTTGCGCGCCCCCGAAGGATGCAGGAGGCGAGACAAGGGACAACGTGGAAGGAGGGAGGGGGGGGCAGAGCGCAAGCTAGCTGCGCCCGCGTCGCATCTGGCGTCCCACACCTCCAATCCATCTCTTCCAGCTTCATTGGTTCTATGAAACCTTCTCCTTCGCCGAGTCGTGAGTCGGATCGAGCCTTGATCCATTGATGGCGTTTGCAGTGGTTGGTCCGTCGTGTGCTGCACACAAGGGGTCGGAACCCAGATGAGCGACATGAGAAATTGGGGTCGTCCTCACCGACGCTGGCGCACAAGCAGCCCGCGTAAGGCCGCGCGTAAGCGCCTTGTCCCAGTGCAGCGTGCCGCGCTGGCGACGAGTGCGAGGGCGGCCGCGAGGGAAGATTAGGCCAGACAGCGTAGAGTTCGTGTTGTCTGAGCTGCAGACTGGAGAATCGGCCAGCTGGCGATGCGGAAGAGGAGGAGGAGGAGGGGGGGCGGGCGCGGGCGGTGGGACGCTGGACGGTTGTGCTCGGGAGGCCGAAGATGGCGAGTGAGGCGCGGTGTGGGCGTTGCAACAGCAACACTGTGTAAGCCACCGCGTAAGGTCGCGGCAGCACGCGGAGGGGTGGCGCGACGCCTAATTGGGCGGAGATGCGAGGCACACGAACGACAAGCGCCGCTTAAGAAACAGGGGGCGGGAGACTGCTCCGGAGGGTCACGGCTGGTGTAACAAAGATAGCGTGCGATGTGGCGCTGCCAGCCCGCTTAGTTCACGCTGTCACCCAGAAAGGTCGCGCGACGCCTGGGCGGAGGTAAGAGGAGCACAAGCGAAAGGCACTGGACGACGTGGAGGGGAGGTGGGGTTTCGCCAGCAGGAAGGGCAGGCAGGTTCGAGGTTCTGTGTTCATCGTGGTTTTTAGTCCTTTTCGGCCTCCAGGCGCCTATTTCGGGCCCCCGGACCATAAGAAACGGATCCTGGTGAACAATTGCACCGGGGACCGATTTAGAGTGGATTGGGCTCCATCCCCTCCTGGTGCCCGATTTTCGGGGCCCAACCAGTTCAGAACCCCGGGCCGCCTCCCAGGTACGAGGACGCTTTTCTTCTCGTGATGAGCAGTTGTGAAGAGACTGGAGTGTGGCAGGCGCCGAGCTCAGAGCGTCAGCGCTCGAAGAGGCCGAAGACGTCCCGAGGGAACGAGCGCACCTGTGTGGGCTGCAGCGCTGGCGGTCGCAAGCGCGTTCGAAGAGCCGGTGGGCCGCGCGGGGCACGGGGCACACGAAGGCAGACGGAAAAGAAGAGCGCGGCTGCGGGTGAGGGGGAGCAGCAGCCACACGCAGAGGGGGGTGGGGGGAGGGGGGAGGGCCGCGCCGGGCACGGGGCACACGAAGGCAGACGGAAAAGAGCGCGGCTGCAGAGGGGTGGTGGGAGGGGGGAGGGCTTCTTAGAAGCACCCCTGCTTCTCAGAAGGCGCGGGCCTTATCTACAGATGTAGGGCCGGCGCCTTCTAAGGAGCAGCCTCCCAAGAAGCCCTCTCCCCTCCCTCCACCCCCTTGTGCGCGCCGCAAGGAGCAGGGCTGAGTCCCCAGACGCAGAGAGGCTACACCGACGGGGAGCGCGCAGGTGGCCTCAGGCACCGGGAGCTGGTGCACGCGGGCTGATCACGCACGAAAAAACATTTCGGATCCATGTGTTTAGGAACCAGTGCGTGGGAGGGGCAGATGCATGAGGCACGTCGTCGGGGTGGCGAGGAGACGGGCGCGGCGATAGTCGGGGGGGGAAGGGGCGAGGTGGAAGGCGAGTTGGAGAGGGGAGCGATGCAATCTAGGTGCGCTCGCGTCGTCTCTGACATGCTACCCCTCCCGCCCATCCATTCCTTCCCATTGCGCTGAATTGTTGTTTGTCCGTTGGCTGGAGTGTCCTAGATGGCCATTCTCTCCAAAACGAACCCATCGTGTGATGCTCAATCAGAAAGGAGGGTATTTTACACTGGACGAGGAGGAGGAGGAGGTGGCGGATGAGCAGGAGAACGACCAGGATGTAAAGGACAGCAGCAAGAGCAGGATTAAAGAGAGCTGGAGGACCAGGGGGGCCGGCGGAGGAGAGAAATTGAAGGGGGACGGCAACTACGGTAATCTAGTCGATTCTAGAAATGTGACCCGCGCTTGAACGAGAGCGCAAGTCTGAATGACGAGAGCAAAGTGCCGACCCTGAAATGCGGCCAGCGCCGCAGCGGGAGCCTCATTCGTTTCGGACCGCAAGCGGTCTGACTGAAAAATCACATATAAAGCATGTGTGCAGTCTTGTGCGTGAGAGTCAGGGGAGAGAGGAGAGTAGTATTCATCTCGTGCGAGTGTAGAGGTAGAGGCTCCTACTTGTAGCTTGGCGGAAAGTATGAATGCTGAATGCTAGGCTTCGGCACCATGTTTTGTGTAGGGCACCTAAGTTGCGACTCGCCGTGCGCCAGCAACTGCGTTCTACAGAACATCTACCAGCACCATGCCCGCAGTGCGAGGCCATAGGGAATGTGGCGATTGCAGTCAGAAGCAGCGGTACGACCGCCAAGATCACCCTGCGATGGGTGCAAATGGACCAAAGAAAACAACTGTGATTTACAGTTGTGGACCCATCGACCTGGGGCATTGACCCTGAAGGAAGGAGGGGAAGGCGCGCGGGAAAGGCCGAGTGGAGGCGAGCCCCAAGGTGCACACGCCCAGCCTTGCCCTCAAGTAGGTTTTCCCCTGGTCGATCGGTCATGCAGGCAGCTTCGCAAAGGAAAGTCTCTTCAAGGTGGTCCGATCTAAATGTTTGGTTGGCGTGGGGGTCTTCTCGCCCCCGTGTATTGCAATCACGCCAATCACCAAGCGCAACATGATTCCAGCCTCGACCCACCACAGTGAATTCGTTGACCACACGTAGCGCAACGTATGCGATTGCGATGTTGGAGGACTTGGCGCAGCGCGAGTGGAAATAACGCATCCCCTTCTTCTCGTGTGTTCGTCCGTTATCTCTGTCCGTCGCTCTCTTTGTTGTTCGTTTCTTTTTCTGCCTGTCTCTCCCTCTCTCTTTTATTGTTGTTTATCTCTCTCTGCCCCTGCCTATGAGCGCATGTATGCATGTACGTACGTATGTCTGTATGTATGTATGTGTATGGATATGTGTAGTGTAATGTCATGTAATGGCATACCAATGTACTGTCATGCAATGTACTGTAATACGCTGTACTGTTCTGTCGTGCACTACAATGTGATGCAATGGAATGGAAGGGAATGGAATTGACTGCAATGCAATGTAATGTAAAGTATTGCACTGCAACGTGTTGTAATGGAATGTAATGTACTTTCATGAGCTGCATGGATGGATGGATGTATGTATATATGCAGGTATACATGCATGCATGCATGCATGTATGTATGTATGTATGTATGTATGTGTGTGTATGTATGTATGTATGTATGTATGTATGTGTGTATGCATGTACATGTGTATGTATGGTTTGTGTATGTATGTATGTATGCATGTATGGATGTATGTATGTATATACACACATACATATATGTATATATATATGTGTAAATATATTTAGATGTGTATGCATGTATTTTATGCATGCATGCATGTCTGTCTCTCTGTCTGTCTGTCTGTATGCATGCATGCATGCATGCATACACTTATGTATGTATGCATGCATGCATGCATGCATGCATGCATGTATGTATGTATGTATGTATGTGTGTATGTATGTATGTATGTATGTATGTATGTATGCATGTATGTATGTATGTATGTATGTATGTATGTATGTATGTATGTATGTATGTATGTATGTATGTGTGTATATATATATACATATATGTATATATATATATATATATAAATATATACCGGGCTACAGGGCCGGGGCTCCCTGGCCAGGACCGCAACCCCCCATGGCGGGATCGGGCCTCCGGGAGCGCCCTTGTCCGGCCCAAGAGGCGCCGAAGACGTGCCCAGGGAGGCGCAAGTGGCCCCCAAACCGGTCCTAGACGGCCCCAGGGCGCTCAAAAATTCAAAAATCGCCCCTGGACCCTCAAGATGGCCCCCATTGAGCCCAAGAAGCAGCTACAACGCCCCAAGTTGCTTTCCAAGAGAGCCCCAAGCGCCCAAAATCATTGATTTTGCGTAGAAAAGCGTGCATTTTCAGCATATACGTCTTTTCGGTCTTCACGGCGTGCACGAGGGTAAAAGAGGCCCCCACGACGGCCCCAAGACGGCCCAAGATGCTCCCAACACGGCCCAAGAGGAGCCCAAGACAGCCCCAGAGGCTGCCAAGGCGTGCTCAAGAGGCGGCCAAGACGTGTCCACGGAGCCCCAAGAGGCTCCCAAATCGGTCCAAGACGGCCCCAGGGCTCTCAAAGATCGCCCTTGGACACCCAAGATGGCACCCATAGAGCTCAAGAGGCCGCTACGACGCCCCAAGAAGCTTTCCAAGGGAGCCCCAAGCGCCCAAAATCATTGATTTTGCATAGGAAAACGTACATGTTTAGCATATACGTCTTTTCGGTCTTCACGGCGTGCACGACGGTACAAGAGGCACCAAAGACGGCCCCAAGAGGCTACCAACACGGCCCAAGACAGCCCGAGGGGCGGGCAAGGCGGGGCCAGAGGGCCCCATGAGGCTCCCAAAACGTTCCATGGCGGCCCCGGAGCGCTCAACGCTAGCTCTTGGACGCCCAAGACGGTTCTCACAGTGCCCAAGAGACCGCGAAGACGCCCCAAGAGGCTTTCCAAGAGGGTCCCAAGAGGCCAAAATCATTGATTCTGCATAGGAAAACTTATAGTTTTAGCATCTACGACTTGTCGGTCTTCACAGCGGTGACGACGGCACACGAGGACCCCAAGAGAGTCCCAAAACGGCCCAAGAGGCTCCAAAGACGTCCCGAGAGGGGGCCAAGACACCCCAAGAGGTCCCCAATACGACCTAGGAGAGCTCCAAGACGGCTCTAAGAGGAGCCCAAGAGGGGGAGCCAAAATCGGTGCCGTCCCCATGGCCGCCCCCCCAGACCTTTGGGGGGTCAGATACCCCCCAGGACTGCCCCGGGCCGCTTCCAAATTGCCCACGACATGCCACGCGGGCCGTACAGATGGTCAAGAAAGCCTGAAGACGCCCAAGAGCGCCCCGCGAGGGCCCGCGAGGACCCCAAAAGGGCTTTCAAGAGGCACAAATTAGCCCGCTCCCGTAGTACAACGTACATTTTCGGCATTCTCGCTGGCTTCGTTTTCGCAGTGCCCCAGACGCCCCCGCGGAGCCCCAACACAGCCCAAGAAAGACCCAAGAGGGCTCAAGACGGCCCGAAAGGGTCGTCTTGTGGGGCTCACGGAACCCCCCAAGACGGCCCAAGAGGCCCCGAAGCCGGCCCAGGAGGCCCCCAAGACGGCCTCAGGGAGGCCCAAGAGGGCCTCGTTCGAAATCATGTTCCCGGAAGCCTCTCCAGGAACATGATTTCCGGGCTCCGAGGACGCCCAAGAGGCCCGCATGACAGCCTCAGCGAGGCCCAAGAGGGCCCCAAGAGGGCCCGAGATGGCTTGAAGATGGCCGAAAAAGCCCCAAGAGGGCCTTCAGAGGCAACAGTCTGCCCATTCCCTTTGTAAAACGTACGTTTTCAGCATACTCGCTTGCTTCGTCTCCACAGTGCCCCAGACGCCCCCGATGAGCCCCAACACAGCCCAAGAGAGACCCAAGAGGGCCCAAGACGGCCCAAAAGGGCAGTTTTGTGAGGCTCACGGAACCCCCCAAGACGGCCCAAGAGGCCCCGAAACCGGCCCAGGAGGCCCCCAAGACGGCCTCAGGGAGGCCCAAGCGGGCCTCGTTCGACATCGTGTTCCCCGAAGTCTCTCCGGGAACATGGTTTCTGGGCTCCCAGGACGCCCAAGAGGCCCACAAGAGAGCCTCAGCGAGGCCCCAGAGGGCCCGAGATGGCTTCAAGATGGCCGAAGAGGGCTCCAAGAGGGCCTTCAAGAGGCAAAAATCAGCCTGCTCCCGTAGTACAACGTACACTTTCAGCATACTCGCTTGCTTCGTCTTCACAGTGCCCCAGACGCCCCCGAGGAGCCCCAACACAGCCCAAGAGAGACCCAAGAGGGCCCAAGACGGCCCAAAAGGGCCGTTTTGTGGGGCTCACGGAACCTCCCAAGACGACCCAAGAGGCCCCAACGCCGGCCCAGGAGGCCCTCAAGACGGCCTCCAGGAGGCCCAAGAGGGCCTCGTCCGAAATCATGTTCCCGGAAGCCTCTCTGGGAACATGATTCGGGGTTCCCAGGACGCCCAAAGACAGCCCCCAGGTGCCCCGGACACGCCGAAGATGGCTTCAGGACGGCCGACGACGCCGCCAAAACGCACCAAGAGCGGCTCCACTCCAAAGGCCCTTCCAAAGGGCCCCAGAAGCTGAAAATCATGTATTTTCCAATGGTTTTTGAAGCATTCTTGCGCTCTCCCATGTTCCGCCTCCCCACGGTCCCGGACCGCGTCAGAGGCCCTTCAGATCACTCCAAGACGGCCGAAGAGGCCCACAAGAAAGCCCAGAGACGGCCCAGGAAGCTCCCAGATAAGTCAAGAGGGCCTCGAGAGCGCCCCAAGAGAGCCCCAAGAGCGACCCAAGAGGGCCCGAAGAGCGCGACATGTCTCCAGCCTGAGAGGCTCCTAAGACGCCCCCAGAGGCCATCAAGAGGCTCCCAAGAAGCCCCGTGAGGCTCCCAAGAGGCCCCCCGGAAGCCCCACTAGGCCCCCAAGGGGCTTCCAGGGAGCCCCTTGCGGGCCCCCAAGACACTTTGGAAATCGCATTTCCCAGATAGCTTTCTGGGAACATGATTCCTTGGGCTTCCGCCCGCCGCCTCAACCACGTTTCCAATAGGCTTGCCGACAAAGCCAAAAGGCGCCCCTCGGTAAGCTCCCAGAGGCCCCCCTCTTAGAGAGCCGAACACATCATGCTCCCGGAAAGCTTCTCGGGAACATGATTCTCTATCTCGGAGTAGGCCCCGGGGGGTGGGGGGGCGGGCCGCTGCCTGTTCTCCTCATCGGTGCCAATCGGGGGTTGCGGGGGGGGTGTCCAGAGCTCCCGAGGCGGCCCGAGCCCGCCCCGAAGCAGGCCACGACAGGCTAAGGGGGTCCCGAGAGGGCCCAAGACGGTCCCACGAGGCCCCGAAGACGCCCGAGATGCCTTCAAGACAGCCGACGAGGACTCCAACACGCTCCAGTACGGACTCAGGAGGCTCCCAAGAGGGCCCTGGAAGGCAAGATTCGCTCGTTTTCCGAGTGTTTGGGAGTTTGGTGTTCTCGCTTTTCCTGCTTTCCAGCGCTCCCTCACGGCCTCGGAGGCCCTTCAGATCGCTCCAAGAAGGCCCACGAGGCCCCGACGAGCGCCCCAAGACGGCCCAGGAGGCTTCCCCAGACAACCCAACTGTGCCCCAAGAGCGCGCCAAGAGAAGGCCCAGAAGGGTCCCGAGGCGGCCCGGGCCCGCCCCGAAGCAGGCCACGACAGGCTAATGGAGGTCCCGAGAGGGCCCTAGACAGTCCTAAGAGGCCCCGAAGACGCCCAAGATGCCCTCAGGACGGCCGACGAGGACTCCAACACGCTCCAAGACGCTCTCCAAGAGGGCCCTGGGAGGCAAGATTCACTAATTTTCGGATGGTTTTTGAAAGATTTAGGCGTTCTCGCTTCCCCCGCTTCCCAGCGCTCCCTCACGGCCTCGCTCGGAGGCCCTTCAGATCGCTCCAAAGCGGGCCACGAGGCCCGGAAGAGGGCTCCAAGACGGCCCAGGAGGCTCCCCTAAACAACCCAATTGTGCCCCAAGAGCTCCCCAAGAGAGGGCCCACAGGGGGACCGCCAACCGATATTTCGATGTCTCTGGCCCTAGAGGCCGCTTGTAGGCCCCCGGAGGCCACCAAGAGGCTCCCACGAAGCCCCGTGAGGCGCCCAAGAGGCCCCCAGGAAGCCCCAAGAGACCCCAAGGGGCTTCCAGGGAACACCCAAGAGGCCCACCAACACACCCCAAGAAATCATGTCCCCAGAAAACCTTCCGGGGACATGGTTCATCATGGGCCCGAGAGTTCCCGGAGGCCCCTAAGGGGCCCCCAGGGAACGCCCAAGAGACCCCCCAACACACCCCAACAAGCCATGTCCCCAGAAAGCCTTCCAGGGACACGGTTCATCGTGGGCCCGCGAGTCTCCAGAGGCTTCGAAGTACCATCATGCTACAGGAGAGCTGTCTGGGAAGTTGCTTGGGAACATGACTGATCGCCTTCTCGCGGCCCTCCGCAGATCGTTTCGCACAAAGTTGCCCCAAGTGCCCTCTTGAACCGACGACGACGACAAAACGACGACGACGACGACGACGACGACGACGACGACGACGACGACGACGACGACGACGACGACGACGACGACGGCGCGCCCCAATAGGCGACGACGACATTACGACGACGACGACGACGACGGCACGCCCCAACAGTGTATGTATGTATGTATGTATGTATGTATGTATGTATGTGTGTATGTGTGTATGTGTGTCTGTGTGTGTATGTATGTATGTATGTATGTATGTATGTATGTATGTATGTATGTATGTATGTATGTATGTATGTATGTATGTATGTATGTATGTATGTACATGTCTCGTTCTGTTCCCCTGTACACACAAACACACCTTGTCCCTCCCCTCGTCGCTCTCGGCCGCCTCCGCTCCTCCCCTGCCCCCTCCCCATGCGCGCCATGCATTCGCAACGATGCGTCTACAGTCAGAGAGCCTCCCCTCCCGTCCCGCCCCGCCCGTCCGTCGCGTCGCCAGCGCGGCCCTCGGGGGCCTCAGGGCAATCACCCGCCCCGCGCTGGAAGGCCTCCCATCCCCCCGCCCCGCGCTGGAAGGCGCCATGCATTCGCAACGATGCGTCTGCAGTCACAAAGCATCCCCTCCCGTCCCGCCCAGCACCGTCCGTCGTGTCGCCGGCGCGGCCCTCAGGGCATGCACCCGCCCCGCGCTGGAGGGCGAGACCTCAGCGGCGGGTGCGGACTCGGCGGCCTGCCTGGCAGGAGGACCTTCGCGTGGCCCCCGGAGGCCGAGCAGGAACAGGAGTAGGTTGTCCCACGTACGGTTGGCGTTGCAAAGATAGCGTGCGAAGTGGCGCCGCTGGTCCGGTTATTACACGATATCCCCTGCCTTGGAGATAGCATGCACCGACGAGGCCCTGGCAGGGAGATGGCGTGCACCGACGAGACCCTCGCAGGGGGATAGCGTGCGCAGAACCCTCGCGGAGGGGACCGCCTCACAGGGACTGTGTGTTTTTCGGGGATCTATGCTGCACGCTATGGTTGCGACGCCAACCGCAGTGTTTCGAATAAAAACGAAATTCCATCCATGGCCACTACGTACTCGACGACCAGGAGGTACAGGATGGAGGCCCACTTCATGGGCGAGTCATGCATTCACCCTATTGCGAAACGCTTATGTTCCTCTGCGTGCCAAGCTCCACGAACAGGCATGGTCCCCGCTTCGCGTAGCCCCACCAACCCATCCGGAAACGATGCCCAGGCGAGTTGCCCTGATCAGGAATGTGGAGAAGCATGCAGTTGAATCAAGGGCTGGGGAGGCCGTCGTAGCCCAAGAGGGGCACGAGGGAAGAGGAACAGGAAACAGGAGGAGGAGAGGAACTAGGGGGAGGGGGAGGGGGAGGGACAAGCTAGGTGCGCTCGCGTCATATCTGACGTCCTGCCCCTCCCGCCCGTCCCTTACCATGGCGTAGGTCTCCTCTCTATTCGCACAATCGGATGTCGTAGCATGGCATAGCATGACATGGCATAGCATGGCGTCGAAGATCAACGCGTAGCATGACATAGCATGGCGTGGCGACGCCCCAAGGTGGGGGGGGCTTTGCGGCCCAAAAAATCAACGAGTCGGCACCGACTGTGTAATCACTTCCGATGGTTTCTCTGGGGGTCCATTTGTAGATGTTGGGGCCTATGTGGAAGGATCGAAAAGCATGCTGGGGCATGGCATTCGAAATATCGATGACAGCGCTGCAGCGGGAGCACGATTCGGAACGAGCGGAAGTACGGAAATGAGGCCAGCGCTGCAGCGGGAGCACGATTCGGAACGAGCGGTAGCCCGAAAATGAGGCCAGCGCTCAGCGAGATCAGCACTCTGAAAAAAACAAGCGCGGAAACGCGGAAATGAGGACGCGTAGCACGACATGACATGGCTTGGCGACGCCCCAAAATGGGGGAGTTTGGGGTACATATTTAAGATTTTGGGGCCTATTTGGAAGGACCGAAAACCATGCCGTGGCATGGCGCTGGAAATAATGACGCCAGTGCTGCAGTGGGAAAAGCACGATTCGGAACGAGCGGAAACGCGGAAGTGATGCCAGCGCTGCAGCGGGAGCACGATTCGGAACGAGCGGAAGCGCGGAAATGAGGCCAGCGCTGTGCAGCGGGAGCACGATTCGGAACGAGCGGTAGCACGAAAATGAGGCCAGCGCCTCAGCGAGAGCAGTATTTTGCAAACAAAATCTAGTGAAAACTCAACTCTGTGTAAAAAACAGTACGCGGGGCCGGACATTCCCCGGACGCCACTAGTGGAGAGAGGAGAGTATTATTATGTTGTGTAGTTGTGGAGGAGGGAGGAGGCGGTGGAATAGGCGGATTATGAAAAAGAGGAGAAGAATGAGGAGGAGGAGGAGGAGCAGGACGGGGAGGAGGAAGTTGAGGAGGAGGAGGGCGAGCAGAATAGCCAGAGGCCTCTTGGATACCTTTCAGAGTCGTTTCAGATATCTCTCGAGAGCTTCTTGGAGTTCACTTGGGGCGTCTACGGGGCCTCTTGGCAGTCCCGGGGGCCGTCCTGGAGCGTCTTGGGTGCCTCGGGGGAGCCTCTCGGGGCCTCTCGGGGGTCTCTTGGGAGTCTTGGGGATCTCTTGGAAGTCTCTTGGGCCTCCCAGGCCCCTCGTGGTGCCCTCGTGGGGCACTCGCGGGAGCCTGGGAGCCATCCTGGGGCCGTGTTGGAGGAGTTCGATAAGAACAGGGGGGGGTCATTTATTAGCGCCCGCCGTAAATGATTGGCACCCTCTCGCCGAGGCCATCGTGGACGCTCTAACTACCCGCCTACCCACCCCCCGTCCAGGTCCAGAGGGAGGGGGCAGGGAGAGGGGTAAATTTCTCCCCGAAGGGGAAGAAGTAGGGTTGGAAGAGGAAACCCGCTAAAGCATTCGCCCCTAAACGGCTGGTGGGATTCATGATCATCCTTCTTTGCACGCTTACTCCAAGAGTGCAATTGGAAACCGAAACGATCTCTCTTTCAAGCTTGTCGGGAGGCCTTTTCGTCGCATTCATCGATATGGCCGTCCTGACGCTCTCGGGCTTGTTTGGGGGAAGAGTTGTTCGCTGTTGCCGGTGCTAGTGGTGCCGCTTTCAGGCCTGGTCTTTGGCCGCTTGGCCTGCTCGCGAGCCCTCACGGCACTGCGGGAGCCCCGAAAAAAGGGACCCGTGCGCCAGAGATCAGAAGACACGCCAGGGTCAATTTCGATCTGATCGATCCGATGTGATACCGATTCTGGCCAGCTCGATCCGATTCCATCCCGATATTACGACGAGCCTGTCCGGTCCGATGCTTGCATCGCGCTGTTGCGCATCTCGGCGAAGCGGATCCGATTCGACTCCGAATCCGTCGACGGCCCGATCCGACGCACATCCCGATGCGATCCGAGTCTCCGATTCGACGCGAATTTCCGATTCGACGCGGACTGGATGTGCATGCGGCGCAGGCTTAACAATTGATGGGCCCATTTTCCACCGCCACCACCATCGGTAGGATAGTGAGGAGGAGGAGGAGGAGTTGGAGGGTGAAAGCGGGGGTCGGGCGCAGGGTCCCGGCAATGGTGCCTTTGTGGGCCATGCATCGGCGACGCATCCTCGATTATTGTGCTCGGCGGGGGAACCAATTGAAGCTCCCCGCCTGCACCCATGCGCGAGACTTGAGGGTAAACGAAGCAAGGAGGCGGGTGGCCCGGGAAAGGCGACGAAGGCAACGTGCGCTGAGGGCGCAAAAAAAAGGTTAGGATAAATGAAAGCGGTGAGGCGAGTGTCAAAATTTGCCCCGCCAATCCGACATGCGGAACATTGCGCCTCAGCTGTAGGGATCTTGGAGGCCAGGGCAAAATGTGAATTCACATTGTGGGGAAAAGCGACATGTGAATTCACAGTTTGAGACAAAGAAAAATGTGATTTCACATTTTGGAAAAGAGAATTCGAATTCTCATTTTGGACTTTTGCGCAAGCGTTTGTATGACAGGGGCCAAAATGTGAATTCACATGTTGGGAAACAGGAAGATGTGAATTAACAGTTTGGAGGAAAAAAAAAAAACCTATACCCTGCGGGTGATAAGGAGGTTGTGGGGGGAGGTGGGAGGGGGGTGGCTCATGACGACAACTGTGGTGAATGTGGTGCTGATCGCCGATGATGGTTTGGATGGTGTGGCGGATTTTTTTGTTGTGCTTTCGCTTGGGCGTTTTGTGTCATTCGGTTTGCCACATTGGGTCTCACTATCGATCTCACGATCGGTCTCGTCGATCTCACTATCGATCTCACGACAGGACACCGACGGGCCACCGACGGGACAATGCGGGCTCGATCTTTCAATCGATATCATAATCGGTCTCACTATCGATCTCACAATCGATTTAACTACCGATCTCACAATGGATCTCACAACCGATCTCACTATCGATCCCACTATCGATCTCACATTCGATCTCACAATCTATCTCACTTTCAGTGCCACTATCAATTTCACGATCGATATCACAATCGATCTCCCTATCGATCCAACATTCGATCTCACATTCGGTCTCACTATCGATCTCACTTTCGGTGTCACTATCAATTTCACGATCGATCTCACTATCGATCTCACTATCAATCTCACGACAGGACATCGGCGGGCGACCGACGGGACAATGCGGGCTACCGCTTGACACGCGCCGGCGGGGGAAACATTTATATTGGCGAACCACTAGCGACAGACAGGACAACGGCGGGCAACCGACGGGACAATGCGGGCCACCGCTTGACACGCGCCGGCGGGGGAAACATTTGGCGAACCACTAGCGACAGACAGGACAAAGGCGGGCAACCGACGGGACAATGCGGGCCACCGCTTGACACGCGCCGGCGGGGGAAACATTTATGTTGGCGAACCCCCAGCGACAGACAGGACAACGGCGGGCAACCGACGGGACAATGCGGGCCACCGCTTGACACGCGCCGGCGGGGGAAACATTTATGTTGGCGAACCATTAGCGACAGACAGGACAACGGCGGGCAACCGATGGGACAATGCGGGCCACCGCTTGACACGCGCCGGCGGGGGAAACATTTATGTTGGCGAACCACTAGCGACAGACAGGACAACGGCGGGCAACCGACGGGACAATGCGGGCCACCGTGTGACACGCGCCGGCGGGGGAAACATTTATGTTGGCGAACCACTAGCGACAGCAGAATGAATTCTTCTCACCCGCGCACGCAGTTTCGCCTCGCCCGCACGCACGACACGAACACGAAACCGAAACCGATTTCCCGGTGGGGGGCTTTCCGTTCCACTTCGATCTCACCCCCCAACCTCGGATGAATTCACATTTAGGGAAAAACGCGGGACCCATTCCAAATCTGTCTTGGGAGTCGACAAGTCATCGTTTGGGAACCTACGCGATCATAAAACGCACAATCAAGACACAGTTGCACTCCACTTCGCCGCCCCACGTGTAACATGCAAGAACACCCGCACGCATGAACGATAATGGATGGACGGTGTGTTTGCCCGCGCGGGCAACGCGCAGGCCTGGCCCTCCATGGCCGCCAACATTGGGTGCCAATCATGCCCGATCACATACATGAGCGATACTTTGAGCACGCATGGGCCATTCAGCCCCCATTGAAGACCCCATGTTGCAGACCCCCTCCTTCACCCTCCAAAGGAGGAGGGAGAGGAGGAGGAAGACCTCCCCTTCCTCCCGTTTCCCCTGCCCTACCCATGGTAGTAGTG